ACTCGGGGACCTCGGTCTGATATGACCTTGGCCGGGGCCCCATGATGCTTGAACACATCGCGGATGTACAGGTCTGCCGCACCTTCTGCCGTCAGGGTCTCATGACAGGCTGAGAAGTGGACCTGCTTGGTAAAGCGGTCGGCGGTAACCAGGATCGAGTCGAATCCATCAGACTTTGGCAAGCCGACGATCATGTCGGTCGTGATGATCTGCCACGGGCGCTCGGGGATCTCGTTCGGCTTCAGCGGACCCTGGGGCTTGGCTGGGAATGTCTTGGTACGGTTGCACACGTCGCAGGTGCTTACGTACTCATTGACAAATTTGGACATCCCAGGCCACCAGTAATTCCGCGACATGAGCTCCAGGGTTTTGGCACAACCACCATGACCGGCGATCGGCGAGTCGTGGTGGATCTTGACGATATCCCGCCGGAGCTCCGCGTTCTTTGGGACATACACGCACCTGCGGAACAGCAGGAGCCCTTGTTCGGCATTCCACTCCTCAAAACCCCTTTGCAGTCGGGGTGGTCCGAGGTCCTGCACCTTTTCAAGCGCCTCAGCCACCTCCCGATCCTTCTCCGAACATTCCCTGATGCGCTTCAGAAGCGACTGATCGGCCGTCACCGAGGCATGGCCGCGCCTGGCGGAGGCAATGCAGAAGCGCTCTGGCTTGAGAACTACCTGATTGGTGTTATCGTCCTCATCGCCGATCTGATGGTCTGATCGACGCGACAGGGCATCAGCCTTTCCATTGGACGTCCCGGCCTTGTGCGTGATGCGGAAGTCAAAGCGAGCCAGGAAGAGCGACCACCGCGCTTGACGACGTGTGAGATGCTGAGATGTACGCCAGTACTCGAGGTTCTTGTGATCGGTAACGATCTCGAACTGATTGGGTAACCCTTCGAGGTAGTGGCGCCAATCGTCTAGCGCCTCAATGATGGCAAGCATCTCCTTGTCGTAGATCTCGTAGTTCCGCTGGGCCGGATGCATCGCATGGGATCTGAAGGCAATGGGATGCCATTTGCCGTCATCCTGCTTCTGCATCAACACGCCACCAGTGGCGTAGCCCGAGGCATCAACCTCGATGCGCGTCTCCCGATTAGGATCATACAGCGCTAGGACTGGAGTCGTCGCGAAGAGCCGCTTGAGCTCGTCGAAGGCGTGCTGCTCCTCCTCGCCCCAATGCCATGGGTCGTTCCCTGTGAGCCGGTCGAGTGGTCGCGAGATCTTAGCAAAGTCCTTAATGAAGCGGCGGTAGAAGTTGGAGAACCCCCGGAACTTCTGGACATCCTTTTTGTTCCAGGGTACCGGCCACTCATTAATTCCTTTTAGCTTCGCGGGATCCATTGCTACCTCATCGCCACCGAACACATAGCCGACATAGTCGACCTTGGGAACGTCCCATTCGCACTTCTCAGGCTTCAGGAATAGATCGTTGTCCTGAAGGCGACGAAGAACCTCGTGTGTGACTTTTTCGTGCTCCTCCTTGTTGGTAGAGAAGATGAGTATGTCATCAAGGTATACGAGGATCTTGCCACCGACAATGAGATCATGGAAGATCTCGTTCATCATTGCCTGGAAGGTCGCGGGGGAATTGGTGAGGCCGAAGAACATCACCGAGGGCTCGTACAACCCTCGGTTAGTCACAAAGGCCGCCTTCCATTTGTCACCGGCTTTGATCCGGACGTTGTTGTATCCCCATCGGACATCGAACTTGGTGAAGAGCGTGGCGCCGCGGAGCTTATCTACCATCTCGGCGATCAGCGGCAAAGGGTAGCGGTTTTTGACCGTGATAGCATTCAAGCGGCGGTAGTCCTGCACGGGTCGAAGCGTCCCTTCCTTCTTTTTGATGAAGAAGAAGGGGGACGAAATGGGTGATTTCGACTCCCGTATGTAGCCCTTCGCTAGTTGCTCCTTTAGGAACTTGTCCAGTTCCTCTTGTTCGTTGTTCGACAGGGGATACACCTTCGAGTGGAATGTCGAGTAGCCGGGTACGAGTTCGATCGCGTGATCATAAGGCTTCCTTTCGGGTAGCCGTTCTGACGCTTCTTTGGAGAAGACGTTCAGGAACTCGTGGTACTGCTTGCGTACCGACTCCTCGGTGGTCTTGACGACCTTCTTCTTGATCTCTTCCTCAGCGAACAGCTGGGAATACGTGTGCCCTGCTGCGACGAACAGCTGAGGGGCGCCGGAAAGCGTGACACCCTGCTCCCAGGCCTCGATCAAGTCAGCTTCGTCCCACTCTACCTCCACCGGATCATCTTCGGGTTCGAAGTCCGGGAGTACCTTACTCCGGCAGGCACCTATGACCGACCGTCTGGACTTCTGCGAGCGTCGGCGCGCCGTGGGCCTGACCCCCGTATCACGCGCAGTCGCTGCTTGCTCCATCCGGCCAGTCTTCCTGGCACTGCACGTTTCAGGGCATCGTGATAATTTCAGGGAGCCTGACTCCCAATCGATTTCGGGGTTGTGCTCTCGCAGCCAATCCAACCCGACGATCACATCTTCTGGACCTATGTCCGTGACCGTGAACACCGTCTTTTCGACGTGCTCTCCTATCTGCATCTGTAGCACGGCTACCTCCGAGATGCTTCCGTCTTTATTGAGTGTTCCATCGATATTGTACAGCGGAATTGGTTCTTTCAATTTCCGCGTTCGTACTCGATTCTCCGTGATGAAACGCTTGTTGATGAACTTTGTGGTGGCTCCACTGTCCACCATTGCAATTATATCCTTGTGCCGTCTTTCTCCTTTAAGGCGCACCGGGATGTGGAAATGCTGGGACCCATGGTCCAACTCGTACACATTCGCAGTCACCAATACATTGTACAGATTATTATTACGCGGCCCGACGCGTGCGGCACAAAGCGCGGACCGGATCAAAAAGACTCCTCCTTCATGGCCCGATAGTGCTCGAGCTCCTCGCGCATCGACTTCATCTGTGCTATTAAGTCCGCCAGCTCGGAACTTTCCGATTTCGCTGAAGCGGCGCTTATACTCGCCGAGGATGAAGCGACGGGGGCGCTTGTTGCCGCCTGGGTGGAACCCGAGGCAACCGTAGCCCACGCGTCGGTGCGTTTTGTGTAAGGTTTATCCTTACAGTTAGGGCACTCGAAACGTCGGTACCCTTGCTTCCCACAGCCAAAGCATGTGCCGGGGAAGTCTCCTTTTCCGATGGCCGCATTGATGCTGGCCGAAGCTGCGTGTGATGAGGGCGCACCACCGCGTGCCCCACCGCGACCTCGACCTCGGGCCGAGAAGAAGTTGTTCAACTCGGGCCGACGGGCCTGGCTGATGTCGAGGATCTGCTCGACCTCAGTGGCTCGCTTTTCAGCGGCTCGCCACGTGGTGAAGGTTTCGAGCTCGATCTTGCGATATACGCGGGAGGGGATGCCGCTCAGGTACTTGTCGCGTAGTTCCAGGTCCCCATACCCGGAACGGTCCGCCGGACCCTTGAACAGCGCGGAGAACTCCGCCGCAGTGCGTTTTTCGCGGACCGACTTGTCCGCGCAGAGCTTCGCCAGCTCTACCTGGGCTGCTGCCGCATCGTCGAGATTGCCGAAGCGAGCCTTGAAGGCAGCGGTGAAGGCCGCTTCGTTCCTGAAGGGGGTTGTAACCCCTTGCACACCCATCTGCACTGATGCGAGTTGGGCGAAGTAAGGCGTGGCCCAGGCGCAGGCGTCGCCATTGAGCAGGCTTAGCGCAACTTGTACCTTAAGTTCAATGGTCGTCAACGACGTGTTGATCAACCAGTAGATACGAAGTTGCAACAAGAACCTGTCGCATTCGATGACGGTTTTGCCGTCATAGCGGAGGGGGAGGAGGAGCTTCAGGGTCTCCTTGTCAGGTGCGGCGGCGGGAGAAGACATTATCGGCGTCGGGGGGGACGGAGGACGCTGCGGGGGCGGAGGCGGCTGTGGTGGCCCTCCGCTGGTCGAACTTCGAGAGGAGTGAGTGCTCGAGCGGCCTCTCGGCAGAGTCGGCGGTGAAGGTGCCGGAGGAAGTTCGGCGGGGGGGGTCACGTACGTCAGGGACTGCTGACGCGGGGGCGAGCGCTGTCGGCGAGGCGGACCCAACAGAATCCTCGGACTCGGACTCCGAGACTCCTTCTTCACCCTCACTCTCCTCAGGCTCTGGCTCTGGCGCAGGGTCTGGAGGGAGATCTCCTCGCGCTTGATCTGGATCGGTGACAACAGTTTGAGGGAGACGGGAGCTAGGGGAGACAGGGCGAGAGTGCCGCGAGGCGGATCGAGATGCGAGGGTGCTGCGGGGACCAAGGGGGTGTTGAGCCCTTCTGATTGCCTTGTAGCAAGGGTAATCTTCCTCGATCGATCGGGGTGTCCGATTTGGGCACGGCTGCTGCTCGCAACGGTAGAGGACAGTCTCAGGGCCGTCTGGGATGTAGACGTCGATAAGGTCCTGAGAGTCGAATGCGTGAACTTGGCCTTGGCAGGCAGCCACGTTGGATGGGGGGAGGAAGGGGAGGTGCGCGTACTAAAAATGGCCGTACTACACTAGCTTACGCTACGGCGCCCGAGAAGACCCTGAGGTTCGCAGTTCACGTGGGGCCCAGTACTGCTTTTGGCTAGTATGCAGCAGGAACCTAGTCCATGCATCCGTGAGGACAAACACCGCCCACTGAAGTGCAGGTGTTGAAGAGTTCGTTCCTCTAGGGGTGGCGATGTATGTAAGGCTACCTACGTATCGTATGTACCGTAGGGTATCGTAGGGGTGCACACCACCCGACCTGTGGGAAAGGGAAGTGAATGTGGGAGTCCCGAGAGGACGCCGGCAGCTTGGGGAGTTTCGACCTAATGTCGCGACTTGAGGTCAAGCGACTGGGGGAAAACCTAAGGGCTGGGGGCATCCGACTAAGTCTTACCGAAGCGATGGTGAGCTACGCTCAAACCTAAGGCTAGGGATGTCACGAGTTGGTACGGCGTCTAGCTGTTTTTTGATTTTTTCCTTTCCGCGGGCTCGAACCCGCGACCTCTGTACTACCTGCCTGATATGGACGCGTTGTTATCTACTGTACGATTAGATTAGATAGGACGGCAGTGCACGGCACAGCTCGGGCCCCGCTGACGCAGCCACTCTGACTCACCGGCCCCCGGGGCCGCGTCGGCATGCTGCGCACAGACCAGCTGCGCACAGACCAGCGCGCACAGCCTGCCCTTATCTCCCCATGTATATAAGCCGGCCTCTGCTGCCCTAGGGACCTCAGTTTCGACCTCTTGTCCCTAGGTCAGTAAGCTCATGTACTTACTTACCTTTCTAATGCTAACTTACTTGTCCCTAGCCTTAGGTTTGAGCCTCGCTCACCATCGCTTCGGTGAGAACCAGTCGG